ATAATCATGTCTTGTGATTATTTGACAGGAGTTTTACTTTTAAACTGTAAGTGTTTTTAATTTAGTTATGTTACTTAAGATAGTTTATTTATGATGTAAATACAATAAAAGTTAAACTAAGATTTAAAATAATTATTTTGATCCACACATTAGTAATGTCTGACTGGACCTCGTGTCACTTTATGTTCAACAAATTGGGCCCCGAGGTCAAAAAGGTTAAGAAGCCCTGGATTATAGGGATCATTCTAACCAACTGTAATAAAAACATTATAGGTTACAACTTCAGGTAGAGCCGTGGGTCTTTTTGGTTCAGACTCACCTGCGAGGGCATCTGGGGTTGTTGAACCGCCGGACGAATCCCGTTGTTGATTTGTTGGGCTCCTCCTGGAAACGGACTCATGGCTGCAAGCCGGTTCTGAAGGTGACAGAGTTACAAAAAGAAGAAAAAATATACAGTCAAACAGGTGGTAAGGAATACAAATACTGGGTTTTAATTAAAGGAGTAAGTTTTGACATTTTTGCTTTCTAATGTACCACACTGAGCTTCAACATGTTCTCATTTAAAACCAAAATATTGTGTCATGAGGATAAATGTTCATCATTTCTGTGCGCTGCGCAGAGCGGACTATAAACAAATCTAGTTTTTTGTTTTGTCACACTGAAAAAAAAAACGGACTGCACCCGAGTATCACAGAACAAACAATTCAACAAGATTAGCTCCTCTGACACACAGGGGTCTTGATCAACCCTGCCTGGGCCATCCTTCAGTGAGGGTTTATAGTGGTAATGACCGAAACACCTGAGGATCCTGAGGTTCACTACTGATGATGTGTCCTACTGAAGAAATTATTGTTTTTAGAGGTTAGTACTGATATTTAAAGCACAACACTTTATTTTTAGGTTTTCCTTTTTATAATGTTGATAATGTTTCGTCTATTATGTTTTGATTGAAATAGGTTCAGTTACATGTCCGAATTATATAACAACACACAATCAACCGTTATAATAACATTAGGTGAGAATTTTGTCTGAACGCCTGTGATTCAGCCGTAGGTCAGTAGGGGGCGAACTCAGGCATTGAAGAACATGTATAAATTGATGTACTTCCTGGTTTGTCGCCAGTGTGGTTTCCTGTCAGCTCCGGTGACATTAAACCTCACGCAGTTCCAGAATTCTGGTGTTTTATGGTTTGATTCCTTCTACAAATCATTTTATTTAACAATGGTGGTTTTAAAATTGACGTCAGTCCATTGAATACGTATTTATCTTACACTACACTAATTCCTTGACTGTCTGGTGATGGAAACACTTGTACGGAGTTCCTTAATTAAGCGAGGACTGTACACCCCTACAGTGAACTGGTAAGTTGTTTGTATATCACAACAACCTTTACTGACCTTTTATTGTGCTTTTTGACCTAAGGAGAGACGGGCTACTGACGAACGCCCATGGCTCCCCATTTCAACTGCCCAATCGTTGGATGAGGTGGGGGGAGACCCTAACCCTAAGCTGTGGACGTCCACTTGCTCTAAATTTCAAACCTTCTCATTTTCTGTAAGTTTTACTTAAAAAAAGCTGCAACTTTTTTAATATTAGTAATGTTTCTGCTGTCCATTCTGTGTTCAAAGCCCCCGCCCCCTAAGGCTAATACACACTATAGCAGTGATAATCAACTAAATATCTCCGGGGGCCAAACATCCCCCCAAGGGATGGGTGGGGGTCATTTGCCATTAATAGTAGGTGAAACACTAACCGTGTTTCCATCAAGGCTTTTTGATGCGCATTTAGAAGTGCCGCATTAAAAATGTGAAAAAAAGTCAGATGGAAACGGCAGAATTTGAAAAAATAAAATAAAATAAAATCCTCAATTTRCTAAAAAGTTTTTACACTCGCTTGAGGTGGTTTTTGGGTCTTTCGAAAAAAACAATGCGCAAAACGAGAGATGGAAACACTTCTGCTGAATAAATTTTAACGTAGCGAACATTTACGTCACGTAGCTGATCAGCTGTTCCCCGGTACCGGAACCAGTTTCGGGTCGGCTGCAGCCGCGACTGGCAGCAGAACTCTCCTCCTGCTGTTTGCATCTTCTCAGTAATCCCATAAAGTGAAGAAAATTTCATTTCTTTCTCTATGTCTTCAGACAGCAGTAACATCTCCAAAACTAGTTGATGACAGAATAATTACAACTTTCCTGATAGCAGCAACACGTTCCTGATAACTTCTCTCCATTATCCTGAGATGTGTGGACCCTGTGAGTTTAGTGACGGTTACTTCCTGTTTACTACGCACATGCGTATGACGTCATCGATTCGCTTCCATCCAGTTGATGGAAACACGTCTGATTCGCATTTCTTAATTTTTTCCTTTTTGCGAAATTATTAAAATTTGCCCAAAATTCGAATTAAAATAGGACGGAAACACAGTTACTATGTTTACATGTGCAAAATCCTTTGATGGGATTGAAATTAAATAATCTGAATGTATCGTTTCCATGCGCACAATCCGATCATGACGAGTGCTTACATGCATGTGTAAGGTGGGTTATTTGCATAACTCATTCATGTACGGGCCACCATTTGTAAGAGAATGAGTTATGCAAATAACCCACCTTACACTTCTCATAACAAAGTTATAAGAGTAAATTTTACCAAGGTTTTACTCATTACTCTAATATTTGTCTGTGCAAAGTGAAGGGACACAAGGAGGGAACTCAGACTGGTTCAAGTTGATTCATAAAAGATTATGCAATCATTTATTTACACAATTGAACAAATCATAAATTACACCTAATTGTGGGTTTCCTACTAAGAGTCCAAGTAAATGAGATAAAAACCCGCGTCCGAATTTCTTCACATTAACTCAGATTACTTATACAGACAGTAAAACGTCAGTTCTGATGTTAAGACTAAACGATTTACTGGCACTTCACTTGGGGGTTGGCAAAGGATAAAGGTAAGAAAAGGTAAGGAAATTAAGAGTTAAGTGTTTCTGTTTTAATTTTGAAAGATTTTCAACCGGATTCAGCACGTCCCCTCTGAGCTCTCAGCTTCAAGTTGACACGTCACCCACGAACACGTCAGCGTTACCTGGAGTGGTCTGCTTAAGAACCCCTGGTCTGGCTGTCTCACCGACGACCCTTCAGGATGCTTGTCCTCGCTGGTCCTTGGTGAAAAGGTGTCTTTCAGGTGACTTTTAGTCCGCTTAAGCCCGGCTAGAGAGATTCCAGCTGTGGTTCGGTCGTCTTTCAAAATAAAAGTCTCCCTCGGGAGATAAAAAACACTTTAAAGAGACGTATGTCTCCAGATGGACATGAAGGCGGCTTGCCTTTGTCCCGGACTTCAGGTCACCCTATTTAGCTGATGGGTGAAACCTGAGGCCCAGCTGTTTCTTCGGAGAGATTCAGCTTTTGTCCTCCTGTCTCGCATCCAGGAAGAAGACTGCCTGTGTCTGTGTAAGGCGTCCGTGTTAGTAAGTCAGAGTTGACTTAGATAAGCCACAGTCAGAAAGGAAAAGAAGATAAGAGTGTTGCCAGCTGGAAGTGAAGGTCGTTGCTCTGCTTCTTTTGCCAGACTGTAAGAAATCACTGTAAACATTTGTCATGATTAATTAACACTTCGTTTAAATAATCAGTCTGAACTTGTCCAGATAAATGTAAGATTTTCTTAAGAAAACTCAAAATTATATTACTGATGTTTCAGTAAAATAAAACAGTGATTTATAAAAACACAATGAAAAACATGGTGATGATTTTCTGTGATTCATTAGTCTATTTTAGGCACGATAAAAAGAATAGAAGTGATTCTATATTCTTTGTGACAGTCATCATTATGATTAACAAATGCTTAAACATTCTTAGTTAAACAACCAATGAATCATGAACAGAACAGATTGTTTCTGTTAATATCTGATTAGAGAGAACTGAAGTCCTCGTGTAGGTTGAAATGACCATCATGGCCTAAAATAAGAGTTCAGCAGTTCCTGCCTTTCTCTCAGGCCTGTGCGAGACCTGCTTTGAGGCAGTAACTCCTGTTTCTTCACTCGAGGTGACCCCTACACATGCTTTTATTCAGAATAGAAGCTCTGACACGCACAGTTGCTAACTTTCCCTTAAAAAAAAAACAGAAAAAAGTTGTACTTCCGTGATGAACATAAATAAACAGCTTTTGAGCTCAGAACGGACCTGCGACAGGTTTTAATAATGGTGGAGACGTTACTGCACTCCCTGGTTCAGCTGCAGGTGACGAGCGGACTTTWAAAAAAATATTAATTTTTTTTGTGAAGCGGCGCAGGCTGTGTGTCTTCCTTCTTTAGTGAATGAGAAAACGGGAGGAAAAGTTCAGTGCTGCTGTCCCTCCCTCCACAGAAGAGCAGAAACCAGTGGATGAAAGTCAGCAGACTTGAACAGTCAGGTCAGTTTCCACAATCAGAATAAAATGATCAGATTAAGTGTTTACATGCGCGCTGTTCAGATTACCAATCAGCATAAACCACCTCTCTCATTCTATTACAAATTCATTCGGATTGAGCTGAATCGGGTCAGAATAATCCGAATGCGGAGTTTATACACTGCTCAAAAAAATAAAGGGAACATTTAAACAACGCACGCTAACTCCCGATCTTAATCAATGAAATATTCGCACTGAGTACTTTGTTCTGTACAGAGTTGAATGTGCTTCACAAAAGTTTGTTTTGCTTGGACTTAGCGTGCGTTAAGTGTTCCCTTTATTTTTTTGAGCAGTGTATGACGCATTTTTATTCTGAATGGCTGTTTAATCCGATGACTTATGTCCATGTAAACGCAGCCACTGCAGTATGTAACAGAACAAATATTATATTTTAAATTTATTTTGTTGCATTGAAACATGCATTTTAAATTTACAAATGATTTGAAGTCTATTTTTATATTAACTTAAGTAAAAAAAAAATTTTTAAATTGGTGAGCCRGATGAAAGACACCCATGGGCCAGATGTGGCCTGCGGGCCACCAGTTGACTACCCTGCTGCAGAGAAACACATCAGTAACATTCGTAATCACTCTGAGACATTAAAGAACTGGATGAACAGTAAAAGCTGACCTGCTGCGGGCCTTGAAGCCTCTGCTGCAGCTGCAGGCGCAGYTGGTTGGAGGGCAGCCTGACCTGGGGGCCCACCCCCTGCGGTCTGACCAGGCCCGGCCTCAAACCGATGCCCCCCGCCCCGCCTGGGATTGCCCCGTGGGGGGCTCCAAACCCCAGACCCTGTTGCCCCACGGCGGCCAGCTCTGGAGCAAACGTCGGCTGTGAGGCTGCTGTAAACTGGGAGGTGAAGGCGGGGGGTTTGGGGTCCATGGACACCGGCGTGGCAGTCGGCTGCTGGGGCARGAAACTAGGAGGGAACGGGTCGAAGCAGCCGCCCTGCAAAGAGGAAGGAAAAGGTAAACAGCTGGTCCGGTCACACAGGTCCAGGCTCAGGTTTCGGACCCCTCACCTGCACCAGTTTGTCGATACCCAGAGCCTTGTCCAGTTTGATCAGCTCGCTCTCATCGGTCCCGCTGAGGAACGAGACGAGCTGCTCTATAAGAGCCTTCTCATCGTTTCTGCCTTCGGGTGTGGTCGGGGGTCCGAGCTCTTCATCCAGTGTACATGGCACACACTGCCTGCTCAGAGAAAAACAAAAAACTCTTTTTAAACATTTCAAACCAGAAAAACACGAGTTCCAAAGAACTGATTCTTAATCCTCACTCTTGTGGCGATGCTAAGGAAGTCTGTAAAGGAGGTCCAAGTCCATCAAAAGACAAGGTGTCAGACAGAGCCAGAGACTGGAACTGGGAATCTCCCACATCCATCTTGGTTAGACCTGAAAAACAGTTTCATATCTAACTGTAGCATCTCAACGTGACATGCTAAAATAAATATTGTCACAGCTAACAAATACGTTGTCAGTCGCAATAATAAAATACCAATTTAATATTACCATATTTATTCAGGTATAATACGATCTCATGTATAGTCCGATCTTATGTATAATCTGATCTCATGTATAATCCGATTTTATGTATAATCCAATCTCATGTATAATCCGATCTCATGTATAATCCGATCTCATGTATAATACAATCTCATGTATAATACAATCTCATATATAATATGATCTCATGTATAATACAATCTCATGTATAATACGATCTCATGTATAATACAATCTCATGTATAATATAATCTCATGTATAATACGATCTCATGTATAATACAATCTCATGTATAAAACAATCTCATGTATAATATGATCTCATGTATAATACGATCTTATGTATAATACAATCTCATGCGTAATA